TATAAAATTTTTGGATTTGTTATTAGAAACAGTAGACAATTCAATAGCAACTATTTTACTATTTAATACTTTTGTCAGATCTATTTTAGAATAGTGTTCGATTAGCTGATACATGGCCTATGAAATACACTGTATTAACATTGACAGAATCCAACGACGTTTTGTGAAGTACCTATGGATTAAGGATGATCGAGTGTACCCTGAAAGGGGCGTACACAATGACATACTTCTACGTAGGTACAATCTATCTAGTTTAGTCAAACGTAGAAATCACTTAGCAGCTAAATTTTGTTGAATGGAAGTATTTATTGTCCTTTTCTTTTAGATAAGACCTCCCTACGCGTTGTCGATTTACGTACTCGTCATGCTAGTAACATTTATTTTTATTTACCTGTTCCGCGAACAGATTTATTGTTATTTTCGCCACTTTATGTTATATGTTTACTGCGTTTGAGGGTGTTAGTGAACTTGATGTTTTCAGTTCCACCTAAGACAATCTTAGAAGGTGTATTTTAACTATTGGGTAGGTTATACTTTTGTCTGTTTCCTATCACGTACCGTCTAAAGATTTTTTGTATACATCCGTTTTTTTTTCGCCTGTTAATTGGAGTTATCTTTTCAGGCAGAGTATGGGTTCTAAATAAAAAAACAAGTAAATAAGCTGCCGGACATGCAAAGCAACACGATTTCTTTATTTGACAGTTTCACCTCCAACCACAATCTACTGATACCGATAATTTTTGTCTAGAGTTATAAAAAAATAACTATTACCAATCTGCAAACATACGGGGCGAATCTAACTTTGGTTATCCACGTTGGAAACTGCTAACTTCCGATGGTGGTGTCTGGGAATTCATTACCGGATACAGCTTTGTGCATTTACCTTCTTGTACTCGTTGATTTCAGAGTTTTCACTTTCTAAATTTTAGACTTTGATGATGGAAAATGGACGATACAGGAGCTTTGGCCCAACGTTTAGATGTACATGTAGATGAACAAGATTCTATCCATTACATATGATGGCCATTTTTTGTTTTATGAGTCCATAAGCTGTAATCATTTTAAACTTATTAAGATGCTGACCTTTTGGTCGCATTTAATAGTTATTTGCAACAATAATTGCAAAACGGTGTAGTCAACTTACACTCCCTATAAATTCCTAATTGTTTTCATCGCCTTGTTTATTTCAGACATCCTGCTGAGAGAGTGCGCCTAAAGACGTTTTGACACCTTTTTAAATAATAGAACGAGTAGTTCTTAAAATGTTAAGGTCACAATTAACAAAATACATCATATAACACGATTTTATATACCTGCTTGAAGACGTAATTTGGTACATCAGCGAATAGTTTAATGCTTTGTACCGAAATAGTATAATCGCTTGTACCTTATATAGTAGACAATGAGCTACCGATCAAATAAATATATGTCAATATTTCAAACTAAGCGTAATATAACAGAAGAAACTTGCTTTTTAAAAATGATATATTCAACCTTTCTCTTTAGATACGAGGGTTGTCTCAAAAATAGGGTTCCCACATTTTTTTCAGGCACAAGGAATTGTTTATTTGAAAAAACGAATTTATCATTGGAAACGTTGATCTTCAAGCTATTTTTCTACACAGTCCCGGTACTGAGCGTCGCGCGCTTCTTGTTGGTATCGGAGAACCACGACGGTGTTGCTAGATTTCGCTTAGCACCACGCGCGGTAAAGGTACAGCGTTCGGAACCACATTTTTGAAACAGCCCTCGTATAAGATGAAGCGTTCCAATTTGGACGTATGTACTGTTGTGCTTTATGATGATTATCTCAAGCATAGGCATACAGACCTGAAAAATTGTCGGTACAAGTCACTAGGTGTGTCTAGTCATCGCAATTGTCAGCAAAGTTGTGGTCAAAATTATACACATCCGGTACAGTAGCAATCTACCAGTCCGTTATCTATATGAACAATAACAGTCATGCTTATTTGTAGAGGATTAGTGGTAAGATTACGCAAAGTTCTTATAAATATTTTGGCTGGGATATTTGCACAGCAGGTAAAAGCGTTTGACGATTTTCTGGTTTTTGATTATATTTGCTTTTTGTATGTTTAGACTGTTTTGAATTTATAGTACAGTAGAAGTGCATTTCATTAATGGTGCTTGCGTAAAAAACACTTCTCTTCTTGAATAAGAGTATCGTTAATAACCAGAAAATTAACCACAAGAGTAATGAAATTCACTTTTTCAGTCGCTGTCATTATACTCACTACTATCAATGTGACAGAGAAGTTACCTCGGTGCTGAACACTCTAGCATAAAGCCAATGTAGATAGTTACTGTTATGCAAGGTGATCACGAAGAATTTGGCAATGATTCTAGAGCAGAACGTACATCCAAAAATAAAATATGTTCCGACAAATATAGTGCTTAAGTGGTCCATTACCAAGATAAGGAATTTTGTCGATTTCTATGCCACTGATGAGACTAAATAAGGACGAAACATGAAACATGTTATATATATATACAGGGTGTTTCAGAACTAAGGGATCAAACTTCTAGGGGTTATTAAGTGTAACAGTAGAAAACATTTGAGTATAGGGACCCATATCCCGAAAAGTGTCACTACGGCACGGGCCCTAAGACGCGTTAAAATTTAGAAAGACGATCAATTACCTAAATAGGAGTTAATGCATTTAATTTTTGCCATTTGTACATGATATCATCACAACAATTGTTCAAAATGTCTTCCTCCAACCTGAATACACCGATTTAAACGTCGCAAATGATTTCGACGGACTTGACTAAAAATTTAATACTCGTTTTGAATGATTCCAAATGCTGCTGTAATTCGTCCAATTAAGTCTTGCTCTGTTTCTACTGGAGTTTCGTAAACCAAAGACTTTACATGTCCCCACAGGAACGGGGTATTCTGGTATATCGGTCTATCTAATCCTGCTCCTGTCTATAACTTTAAAAGTGGTGTGATGGCGGAGCTGAGGGCAAAAACAAAAAAATGAAAATCTTCGTTTTTTTTTCAAGTTTCAGAAACTCTTGATTTTTTATAAACCTTTTAATGGGTAAAAAATTGGGATTGGTGGGTCACAAGGTAGTCGGGAAAAATATCTTGAATGTTTGGCATTTGTATATTTATATGATTCCAGCCCCGGCAGCTCTACGCACCTCTTTCTATCAAATGGACTCATTGTATGGGCCTGTTTGGCTGACCTAACTTTTTGCTCAAAGGGGAACGCAATCCTTAATTTTTTGTAGGTATTGATTATGTCAGTACTACATCTACAGCTTATAGGAGGTTTTCATGTTATTTTTCATCTACTTTATGCCCCAAAAATATTGCATTTTTTCAATCACCGTAGATATCAGCTTTCTAAATTCTTGCACCATCGAAGCCGGGGCACTGTTGTGTGCTCAAATCTCATTTATGCCGCGGTAAATCAAATTTGAAGTTCAAATCCTCGCTCCTTTTGGCCAGCGTGCCTTAAATGGCTGAAAACAACACCGCGTGAGGCGAATGGCGATCCGAGAACTTGACCGATTGCTCGCGACGAGGCATAAATGAGGTTTGAATAACGTATAGTATATGGAGACCAACCTACGTATTTTGAGCCACTATAGAGAGCAGGTGGAAGCCAGAATATTCTTATAGTCGGACACAAATGTGTCTAATATCAGAGCCTTTTCAAAAGCAAGATATGTAATACTGACAAGAAATAATACCGAGTCCTCAATAATAATGATAGTATATTATAAAAATTTTCCAAGCCTACCACTAGTACACGCATATTTATTCACAGTAATGCTCTTTCAGTGGTTTATAGACTAACCCAAAGCCCAGCACATATCAGTCAGCAGTTTGGAAAAATCATCAAAAACTGTTCGGGGACCTGAAGGCAGATTCTATATTGGTAATGCCCACCAACGTAACTGCCCAGTGTTCAATTTTGATAAAAACTTCAAACAATTTTGCCAGAAATGAACGTGTGGGAAAAATATGCATAGATGTTATAAGCTACTGGTATTCGGACGGCTCTAAAACGGAAGACGAAGCTGGAGCCTGGATTTATGGGACATGGCCAAAAACCGAGGTCTCTATAAATCGAGATGACATAGCAACATTACAATATTTTAGGCTTAGATAACAGCTATACAAGTCTGTAGAAAAGAGCTAATGAAGAAGGAGCCCTTAAGTTCATCGCAAATATGGTCTAAATTAGTAGGGGACTAAAGAGCTGGGAAACCGAAACCAGGTAAAATTGCTCTGGGTACCAGGACATGAAGGCACAATGGAAATGAGAAAGCGAATGAGCTAGTCCAGAGTTCCCCAAACTTTTTTGTGTCGTAGACCCCTTGCCATATTTTTCCGTGTTGGGTAGACCCCCTACTTACCTGATATTGATTTCCTGTAAATTTCTTACTGTAGTGAAGTTTAGTGTTAAAAACTTAAAGTAAAAACACATGTTAATTTATACATTTATTAATTGAATTTAAATTAAAACTACTCAAAATAAAATTTTGTATCTGTTATGTAAAATATACGTAACATTAAATAAACATGTGTCTGACCAATAAGTGCCAGCATTGAAAAAAAAAATAAGAGAGATAAAATGAAAAAAAAGTGAAAAATAATTAAAAAAAAAGTTTTTTACTAAAAATAGTACAATAAGCGAGTTCGTTTATGAATTATAACATAAACGTATGTTCTACAATAATTTCACTGTTAGTTTGATTAAATTCCGCTTCTTATACGTTTAAGTTATCTAAAAATAGGCAAAAAATTAACGAATTTTAGTGTGTACCTATCCTTGAATTTTCAGAATAATTAAAAAAAAATATTTTCTATAAAGGGGGTTTCTTTAAAAAAATCAATGCGGGCACTTATTCCCAATGCGGGCATTTATTGATCAGACACCAATAAACATAAAATAAAGTATAAGTAAAATAACATAAGCAATAAGTCAATATTTTTAGTGAGAAGGATGAACCGGATGCTTTAATAATCAATTATCAACATTTTGCGTCAATTTTGTAAGGGTTAATCTTATATCTCCTCGGCTAATGATGTCCAGTCTGTTTCTTTTTTTCGTTAGGAAATTGGTAACAGCGCTGAACCCCCTTTCCACTAGGTATGAGGATGGAAAGGAAATTAAAAATTTCCTCACTATATTCCATAATATGGGATAAGTAACGGGTATGTTGTTTTGCAGCCAGAATTGCTGATATCCGTTTTTAAACTAAACCTTAAGTTCTTCGTTTGTACTTAGTTCAGTCAGTTACTCTTGTTTTATGACATTCGTTTCTTCTATGTCACCATATGGATTAATTATACACGGTGGTATTACCATAGTCAAAATATCCTCAAACCTAGATTCAAAATCTGAATAGAAGGCATATAAATGTTGAACGTAAGTTGAAACGTCGTCTTCCTGGCAGCTTGTCTGTGACAAATTGGGGAACTGAGAAAATTCCAATATTTTGCTTCATTAGTTTAACTCTGGCAAGAAACGCTGATAAGATGGACTTTGTTTTAATCAAATTTAAACTGTCGCCTTGTAATTGTAAATTAACCATATTAAATTTTGTAAACAAATCTGTTAAATAGGCGATGTCTGTTTTCCTCTTCATTAAATTTTCTTTTAAAATTTTATCTTTAGTATCCAGAAATTCTAAAATAGTCTCAAAAAGTGCAAAAAATCTTTCGACAGTGTGAAGGAGTAATTGATGAAAGTGTTCGTCATTTTTTTCACACAACTGCGCAAATAACCGCGTATTCAACGCGTTGCTTCGGATTCGGTTTACTGCATCAATGACTAAATGAAGTGATTCATGCAATCTAACACTTTTAGCAACTAAATGTTGTCGATGGATGACTCAATGTATTGCTAACACCCCTGACACATTTTGTTTTAAATAGCTTATAAATCCACGATAACGTCCAACCATGGCAGTTACTCCATCTGTAGCTACTGATATTATATTTGATAAAGGAATTGGTTTTTCAATGAAGTAATCCTTCAAAACATGAAATATTGATTCACCTTTAGTGTCGGTTATCAAAGTTCTTGCAAAGAGCAGTTCTTCGTAGATTTCTTGATTCATAATAAAACGAACATATGCCAATAATAATGCTGCATTATCAGGTAAAGTTGACTCGTCCAGTTGTATAGAGAAATGGGTCGTTTGCAAATAATTACATAAGAAGCAGTATTGTTGCTTAAGGGAATTCTTTTAATGATATCAGATACAGGTTTGTGTAAAACAGTTTTTAAAACCTCTTCAACCGCTGGCAAAATTAACTTCTCTCCGATAGTATGTGGTTTTCCGGATTTTGCTATAAGTAAGACGTCCGCAAACCATAATTTCTTTGTGACGTCGAAGCGAACATTCTGTCCAGTATAGGCCTCTTCTGAAATATTTATCTTTGAGTGTTTGAAAGAATTTCAAATCTTTCTCTGTTTTATCAGGGTGGCATCTTCTCAGATGATCTTGCAGTTTAGATGGTTTCATAGCGTCATTGCCCAAAACTTTGTTGCATAAAAGGCACGTTGTTTGTCCGGCAATGATGGAATGAAGCCAAATTTCAAATAATCAACACTGTACTGTCTACATTTCTTTTTAGATTCGGACATGGCATCAGTCATCTGTGGGCAAAATTAAATTATTTAAATAAGACAGAAAATCCAGCTGTATATTAAAAATATTTTTTGATTTTTCCGAAAACATTCCATAATTCGAACATCTTGCAACAATTAGCTCGAATTACGGAGATTGCACTGTAACTATATTACCGATTGCTAAAACTTTCAAAAAGAAACTATTGAGGGGTACTCGTGTAATTTTGCATGATTGAATATTTAACTACTAATAACTAAAGTCATGAGTGGCGTAATTTATCTATCTTTGCTAACTACGAGTACAAAACTAAAATTTAATAAAAAATAATGTACTTACTTTTCTCCAGCACTCTCAAACAAAAACTGACTCACTATAATTTGTGTGATATACTATCTGTTTATATTTTTTAAAATATTTTCTTAGCACTTTCCTTTTCAAGATTCAGGAAACGAATAAACGTATTTGTCCCACACTCGTATTTATAGAGTGATGAATTGAACAAGTCAGTGCAAGGTAGCGAAGCTCTGAGACTGCGACTCTCAGGTTTTTACAAGTTCAAAATGTATTGCGACCACAAAGCGAATACCAACATCCTACGACTTACACAATTTTATAAACATATATAATAAATTTTTTACTTCATATGTACTTTTATAAATAATGTATATGTTTTGATATTATAAGATAGTATGATGTAAGTAAATAGGTACTATCAGTGTATGTGTTGAGATCCACATCGTGGACCCCCATATTCATTTCATGGACCCTCAAATTTCTTTTCGCTGACGTACACCCCTTGCAGGTTGTCATAGACCCCTAGGGGTCGATATTTACGACTTTGGGAATCAATGATCTAGTCCTACAGGGTGCGGCCAAGCATATTAATCCGGAGCCTTTCTGTGGAGTAGAGAGAACAGGCATCAAACAATCTTTCTATAATAGTCTTAAAGCTGCTCCAAATTTGTCATCGTTAGATATAAAGAATAATAATGATATACAGATAAATCGAGCGTCTAAAATAAAATATTTAGGGTAATGATTGGTTACCGCCTTAAATGGCATGCTCAGGTTGAGTATCTTACAAATATGATTAAGATGGCTAATACCAAGATTCAAGTTCTTTGGAGATTTTTTATCTACAAAACAATTGATTTCATTATATACATTTGTCCAGCCACTATTAAGTTACGGCATTGTTAGATGGGGGGAGTACTGCCTACGGCATTGAAAAAACTTGAAGCTGTACAAAAATGGATTTTGAAAATTATTTTAAGTGTTAACATTCTTTACCCAACCAAAAAAGTTTTTCAGAATTCTTGTGCTTTTAGTATCGGGCAATTATATTGTATGCACTTGCTGTTATTTATTTAGAAATACAAACATACGCTGCTGAGACCAGAACATAACCATGAGACAAGGTCTAAAACACTATCAGTCCAGACCCGAAAGATGAATAAGAAAATTGGGCAAAGGTCATTTGAATATATAGGCCCACGAGTCTATAATCGTCTGGCTGATGAATGTAGACAACACACTAGTTACTATACATACAAAAAATGTATAAAACTGAGGATACAAGAACAATCGTATATGATAGATCAAATGATAAATTAATGTATAATCAGATTTTTTTGACAAAAACTTACCACCTATTTCTACAACTGTAGAAAGTTATAAAATTTTAAATTCACATGAATATATCAGTACCTATGTAATGACAATGTTTGGTATGGGTAAATACCCGCGCACATGCAGCTGCCTGTGGATTGTCTATGTTTATTTGTTTTATTCGAGACTAATTGTATTTTACAAATAAATATTATTATTATCTCCTGTGTCACTGCAAAGGCCTGGCAAGGCTTCGGCTTCAAATATTAGGCAACAGCGGAAAGCTAAACGCAAAGCCCTCCGTCAAGGCTATGGAATCTGATTGAAGGATTAAGACTAGATACAGTGATTTAGACAGTGTATCTGGAAAGTCACAATAGATTCATGTAGGTCTCAGTGGCGTTAAGGGTAAATGAACTCCTTTTCTGTAATCCGTAATATTATAAAATACCCTAAACTATAGAAATGTGGTGATTAATTAAATTCAAATTCGTTGAAATAAGACAGGAGCAGCACCAGTACACAATCTTAGCAACGGTAGGACCCAAACAAGAAAAGCAATTCCCATGACGTGACTTCAACGGTCCTGTTCAGCAAACCGTCACAAAGTGGTAGAAAGCTAACGTTCACCCTTTTGTAAACAGATGCCAACCGTCACTGCCGAAGTTTACCACCTGTTTCGAAGACCTTCACTACACTGGCTTTTAACAGGTGTACGGAACACCGTATATGTCTCATAAATTAAACTGCTTAGATAGAAAGATATATGGACTCAGGGGCGGACGTCCGTTTACACTTATGGGGTGTTTTCGAATCAAAGTGGTTAAGATGAAGTTGAAGAAAATTTTCTGCAGGTAAAATTCCTTTAGTTCAAATAGATTAGTTCCATACCAACTGAATTATAAGTATACAGACTGGAGATATTACAGACCAAAATATGTGAATTGACCTAAACATACCTCAGTCCAAAAGTTGATAGTTACAATTTGATTTTCTATTTTCCCTTATTGCTTGGGAAGTATTTAATTTTAAGTTGACAATAAGTTGTTAAACATCATGGAGTATACGTTTGATGAAGACTCTGATATGCATTTAATGTTCGGATTGGCAAGATGTAATGTTTTAAAAGCACGAATATTGTACTCTGACAGATTCCCTAATAGGCACCTGCCTAATTCACATACTTTCCAACGAATCGATGAGCGGTTACGAGAAACTAGTAAGAAATGATTATAGCCTTATTTTAAGTAGTAAAAACCATTTGGATTTTAGGTATTTTTGCTCAAAATATGGACCGACATAGTAGAGCTCTCAGAACTGAACGTACAGCTGACGTTGAAGAAAATGTTTTAAATGCAGTCTTTGAAAATCCTACAGTTGGGGTTAGGAATTTCAAGTTTCCAAATGTACAGTAAATACCATTTTTCAAGAGAAACTGCTCCATCCATACCACCTGCAAAAAGTACATGGCTTAAGCGCGGATGATGAACCCGCAAGGGTAGAATTTTGTACATACTCTTAAGGAAGTTTAACCATGACAACGGTTTTACTTCGTTAATATTATTTTCGGACAAAGCAGGATTTGGAAGGGATGGGCCCATTAACTCGCTTAATCTTCACATTTATGCAGACGAAAATCCTCATCTAATAATACAAACCCGCCACCAAGTACAATTTCCAATTAATCTATGGGCAGAAATAATTGGACAATATTTAATAGGACTCGTTGAGTTACCACCTATACTAAATGGCCAAAGGTATTTACAATTTCTCGAAGAACAATTACCCACTCTTCCATTACAAACACGCATGAATATGTGGTTTATACACGACGGCGCTCCACCTCATTTTAGTATATTAGTTAGAGAGTTTATCCAGACCAGTGGATAGGCCGATCAGGACTTGTCGAGTGGCCGGCTAGATCACCAGATTTAAATCCTATGAATTTCTTCTTCTGAGATGATTTAAAACGACGCGTTTACAATACGAGAGTGGTAACTGTAGATGACCTTCGACAATGAATTTTCCACCATAGCCAGTAAATGAAAAATAACATCCAAATGCTTTGGAGAGTGCAGCAAGCGCTAGTTCGTCTAGCTCGAGAGTGTGTTAGGCAAGGTGGTGCTCATTTTGAACATTTTTTGTAGTTATTATTTCCGTTTATTAGTTTTGTTGCCATCCTCATTTGTTATAGTTAGAAACCATAGCAACGCTACTCGGATATTATCCAAAGCAACTTGATTATTATGTTATAAAAATGTTTTATTATCATGGTACAAATAATGCATTGGAACTTTTAAAAATAAATATCTCGAAAATTATTAGCTTCTACTTATAACAAGTAAACCTTTTTTGTTATGGAAATACGAGAAAATCAGTTTTTTTCGGTCAGTTTTTGTATACAGGGTAGAAAAAAATGTTATGATAAGTTATTTACCGAAATAGTGCTGTAAGTCGCGCCCTCTGAGTGTTTCGCCATGAAAGATAACGGATTATTTTTTCTCATACTAGAAAGTCTCCCTATACCGAGTTTTATGCCAAAATCTGAAATACTTCTCAAGCAATAAGGAAAAATAGAAAATGAAATTGTAACTTTGACACCCTGTATCTCGCAAACTATCAACTTTTGGACTAAGGTATGCTCACCTGTAGGTCAATTCACATATTTTGGTCTGTAGTATCTCCAGCTCCGAGATTTCCCAACCTTTCGCATATAAAACTCGGCCATCAGAAGTGATGTTAGTATTATTTTTACTTAACCTTTCTCGCCCGGTACCACCGAATCAGACCTCTAAGCAACTTACCAGGTGCTGAGACGTTAAAAGTAAATACATATAAAATCTATTCAGTGTCGTTTTGTCTTTCGGAAAATAAGTAATGTTTGGCAGCCTGGGATCTCGCACTATAAATAGTTTATATCTGCATAACTTACCATATAGTACGAACTAATGTGATAAATTTCAGTTGTTAGAGGAGAAGAAACAGATGAATACATGATAAACGATTATGAGAAAATTTAAATGGCTTACATACGTTATCTATTTTATATAATATGCAGCCATTAAATATAGATAAAAGCAATATTGTAACAGTAATATAAGGTGAATACTTGACATATAACAGAATCATTGTCAATTTGCTAGATTTTGCATTCCGATTTGGCATATTAATATACATGAAATGAGTGAAACTAGTTGTTATAGCCTTCATTACAACCTCCGAGATCGATCTTATAAACATAAATTCCATATATTTATCCATTTATTGCATATAAAACTATTTTG